CCTTCAATAAAAAGCTGGTTGAGATTAAACCTGTTTGTTTGGTAGAAAAAGGAAAACAATAAACAGTTTTCCTGAAACATTAAGTCATTTTTCTGCCTTTAACACATTCAGCAGCAAATACATGAGGATGATTGACAGCACTAAGCCCCTCCTCCTGGCTCTGATTGGTGGTTTTTGCTGCAGGTCGATATTTTCACAGTCGATCAGCTTCATAAGAAACTGTGATCACAAACATATTTTTATAAATTCGTTCTTTCAGACGGTTTGTGAGTTTTCAGAACTTATTCTGGACCTTCTGTGTTCCAGTTCTTCAGAACCAAAGCGAAGGGCTCAGACGATGGAACCTACGCCGTGAGTCCCGTCGTCTCGTCGTGTCGCAGCTCAGATTTTCTCTTGAATTCGTCTTCATGTGTTTTTGTGTTCAGTCTCTCAGCAGAGCGACGGGCGACACCTACGAGCCGCTGATGACCGACCCGGAGCGAGGACGGGTGAGTCCAGATGTCCGGTTCTGAAGGTTCTGGTTCTGTTCAGATGCTTCATCTTGTTTCTTCTCGTTGTGTCTCTCAGAACCGCCGAGCGCCGGATGACTCCACCTACACGGTACCAGACGAACCGTCCAGAACAGAACCGCAGTGACCTCTGGATGTTTATCTAACTGGTTCTGTTTGGGTTTCAGGGCCTGCAGAAACGATCAGAACCGACGTATAAAGAGCTTCCTGTGAGGAGAGAGGTGAGCGTCTGAACACGATGAGGTTCTGTCAGGTTCTGGAACCGGTTGCATTAAAAACTCTTGTTTGCAGCGTCAGCGGAAGAATGAGCAGGTTTACCAGGTGAGTACCGACCGGACCGGACCGGACCGCTCCGACCCGTCCAACATCTGCTCTGATCAGCTGATTGATTAACTGATGGGCTGCTTTCAGGGTCTGAGCTCGGTCACCAGAGACACCTACGACTCCCTGCAGATGCAGCCGCTTCCGGCCCGCTAACCGGGTCGGTTCTGAAGAATCCTGCAGATCAGCACCAAGTTTTACTCTGATTGGACCCGACGGCTCCCTCAACATCTGGGAATTTAAGGCTTTTCCCACCAGATTTGGAGCTTTAAAATTCTGAAATATGACAGTTTTTTATTTAGAGCTCATCAATGTGATCAATAGTTTTGATTAGTTTAAAGGGAAATCAATAATTCCACTCATTAATTAGCATTCTATGCCGAGAAGTTTCTCTGTTGTGTAAATATTTGTATGAGGATGAGAAACAGGAGGAAACCTGCTCAATAGTTTCTGCTTCTAATGTCTGACTGTGTGAAGTCTGAAGAACCTGAAGTCAGTTTGAACTGGATGGAAACACAAGAAGGACAATTTAAACACATTTAGTCAAATCAGAGATAAAATCAAATGAAAATAGATATTTAGGTTAACATTAATATGATGGACATTATGATCATTTAATTGTTATTCTGCTGTTTTTAATCATATTTCTTGTCTCCTATGACTCATTTTTATTAACTTTTGTTGTTTTTTTATTTTCCTGAGAATTTCTGCTGTTTTTAGAATGTTATTAAATGTAAAGCTTTTATCTGATGATTAAATGATCTTAAATAAACATCTGTTACTCATTTCTGCCTCCTGGTGGACAGAATGAAGGTTTGCAATAATAAGATTTACCTATAATTTATTCAATTTTGCCAGTAGAATTAGTTACTTATTTAATTGGAAGATTGTTTCACTCATAATTTGGGTAAATGTTATAAATGTTATCAGTGAAATAATCTGCATGATTAATCAATATTAAGAAATAATTGACTGAAAGAAGCTCATGTGTTTTGCTGAAGTTATTAGTCACTGGCTCCTAGTGAGGGACCAGACCAAGAGCAGCAAGAGACCAACTAGAACTAGAAGTCAGGTTTTCCTCTGCTTCATCAGCCTGCCGGGCTGATACTGTTGTACTGTAGTGAGAAGGGCGGAGCCTGAGGTGAGTCAGGAACAATAAGATCAGGAGAAACAGATTATTCACTTTTTATCAGTAAAACAATCAGAGAGGGCTTCACAACCCTCCTCTGAATTATGACACTCAAAACTTTGTAATATTTTAACCCAAAAACGCAGCGGGCCGCTGATGGACGACCTTATGACCCCACCCTGAAGTGTTCCCAGGAAATTCCTGCATCAGGAATTTTGTGTTAAATGATATTTACTAGTTTGATTAACATTGATCTGAAACCTTCACCTTCCATTTATGACACATCAGAAAAGGTTCCTGCTGGACGGATCTTAATGTTTGGAGGTTGAACCTTTTTTTCAGGCATGTTGGCAACGAGGAAACATTCCTGCACAGCAGAGACAGAAACTCATAAACATCTTCCAGGGAACGGCTGCAGCAAATTAAAACCTGTTTGTAACTCTGGCAGGTTTTTAATTTTCGTTGGAAACGTTGAGACAAACTAGTTGAACAACTTAAAGCCTCCATCTAAGAGAGGCCAAAGATTAAAGAAGTTATGTTCAGTAGTGAAGGAGGATCAGGTGAGAATCATCATGGAAAGACCAAGATAAAATGAAAAATAAAAAGATTAGAAACTGAAAAAGTTGTGAAATCTTTGCCATTTAGGAAAATGTTAAACTTAAAAAATGTTGTGGACTATGTTTCAGATTCTTATTTATTATTATTATTATTATTATTATTATTATTATTATTATTATTATTTGACTTTTAAATGAACTTTCTGGCCAAAATTTAGCATCAGAGCTAAAAAGATAATTAATGTGTAGCAGTTGAATGATGTTAGCTAATGCTAATGCTAATTAATGTCTATGGTGACCTTTGACCTTCCTGCCAGGGTTCTTGAATTATTCTGAAATGTTTGTAATTTATTAATCATTTGTTTTTTATTTCTAAAAGTAAACAAAAACTATTTTAAACAGGATCAGGAACTGAAGTCGGTCATGTAGTGAAAGACGACTGGATGGATCCGACTGACTGAAACTTTAACACAAACATCCACAAGTTACTGGATGATAAAAACTATTTCCTCCTTTCTGGTCTTTTTCTTCTGCCAGATCATTGATTAATATCTGGATCAATACAGTGGAGATGCAGAGGAGATAATAATGTTCCTGTAAAGCTGATCACAGTCAAAAGACGTTTTTACACCAAGATTGAATCAAACAGACGACTTTAAAACTTTTACACAGTAATGTTTCATTTTTAGATGTTGTCTTTCATTATTATTGTAGCAGAATGAAGCCTGCCCTCAGGATTGAGGACATGTGGCACCTATTGCCTCATAATCAGTGTGAGCATAAAGGAGACTCTCTTCAGTGGAAGGTCACCTGGTTGACTTGCAGTGGTCGAAACTCTGAAATCAGTAAGTAATGTTTCTCCTTCTGTATAAGGCCTGTAACTTGAGCTGGATAATTCAAATAGTTTAAATCTAGAAGCTGCCTGAAGTCTCCTGTTTGATGGTGGGGTGTGGCTGTAATTTACCCTCCCCAGTTCAGCTTGGCAACAGAAACGGCTCAGTAGTTTATATTGTACTCATGCAGTTCAATAACATGAAATGACAATTATTTTCTATATTAAACATACTGGCAATCGAATCCTCCTGCCATTTGGCTGGAAGCTCTCTGGTCGGGGTGGAGTCATCCAGGTCTGCTAGGTGACAATGGCTTCCTCTTCCTCCTGCCATTTTTCTAAATCTCTCCTATTAATCTAACTTCATTTCAGACATAAAGCTGCTGCAGCTCACTGGAGGCCCTGCTGCTTTGTTTTTTTGTTTTTTATATCCTGCTTTGTTTTCAACTATTGGTTTGGTTTCTGGGTTTATCATTTTTGATTAAATTTGCTTTGTTTGACCCCATCCTCTTGTCTCCAGGCTGAAGGCAGTAAGGGTGGTGGGGGGGCATCAGGGGCCTGGACCCGTGTGATGTGCAGTGACCAGTGTTGGGATTTCTTCACGATCAAGTGTCTGTTCACAAGAGCTCGGTGATTTATTTTGTTTTAGGAACCAGGACCCCACATTTGGGCTGGTAAACCTCAGTACGATGCAAATCTCTTCCCATTGTGGTTCTTTAATTTTTGTTTTTAAAACATGGATCAATGATATTAACTATTTTATGGAGGAATAAAGTTTTGTTCTCGTTGTTTACGAACCTTAAGTGCCTTACTGACCAAGTTTCTTGGGTGCAACTCCCAACGTGGCGTTGACACCTGTTGGTCACCCTGGTTTGAAGGGGCAGAGGAGTCGATTCATATACTCGTGTTGCCACACGATTATTTTTACCTTTAATCTGCAGTAATTAAAATGGTTTCCTCTCTTTGCTGCTCAGGTTATAATGTTTCAAACTGGTTGAACTGGTGGATGAAGAACTGGAGGCTGCAGAGCTGACAGGCTGGAAACCATCAATCTGTCCAGATCTTCTGATCAGAACCAGAACCAGAACCAGGCACCAATAGAGAGCAAATCATTTAGTTTACAAAAACTAAATGAACAAACTGATGAAGGAGGAAACATTCCTGCACAGCAGAGACAGAAACTGATAAACATCTTCCAGTGAACGGCTGCAGCAACTTAAAACCTGTTCAGGAGGTTTTAACTTTCGTTGGAAACGTTTGAGACAAACTAGTTGAACAACTTAAAGCCTCCAGGCTAAAAGAGACAAAGATTAAAGACATTTATGTTCAGCAATGAAGGAGGATCAGGTGAAAATCATCAACATTAAACATGATTAAATAAATGAATAAAATCTGTATTTAATATGAACATGTCAGATGGAGACACATCAACATTTCAAGGTTCTTGGTTCTGTTGGCTCAGATCATAACAAGCAGCAACTATTATTACTTTTATTTGTTAAATTTCTTTATAGATGAAACTGAAAATCTCCATTAATTTAATAAAATATTGATTAAAATCCTGATATGTTTCAAACTTAAAGAAGCTTTAAACCTAAACGTGAACTTGTTGTTTAACATTTATTTCCTGGTTTCTTGTTATTCAACAGGTGAACACACCTCTGCTGTCAGGGGGCGGAGCCTCAGGTGGGTCCCATTAAAGTTCTGGAGAATCGGTCCGGTTCTCCAGTTCGCTCCCACTGGGTTTGTGTGAACAGAAGGAGAAGCAAAGATCTGATCAGGTGAGTTTTAACTCCACATTCTTCTGGTTTCCAGTCCTGACTGGTTTCTCTCTCTGAGCTGCTGGTTCTGGTTTGGTTCTGGTTCTGGTTCTGCTGAGATATCTGGTTCCTGGTTGGTGGATGAAAATATTTCAATATGAAGTCATAATTTATTGATCAGGGAGGATTTCTCCAGATTGAATCAGTCTGTGGAGCCAGAAGACAGCTGATCACATTTCAATCAATTATTGATCAGTAAGAAGTGATTATGGTGAAATATAAACACAGCGCCCCCTAGAGTTTTTTAAAAACATCCACTGCTGTTATTTAGACCTGAACTGAGTTAAAACGTCAAACCATCAGAACAATAAAAATTACTATTGGACCCGTTTGCACACCCAGCAGGAAGTCGGCCATTTTGGATCAAATGTCTTGTTTTTTTGTTTGTTTGTTTCAATAGTGATGCGTAAATGACGCGTCATGAAACGTTTCCACCCCTTTACAAAACTGTATTGATAATGTGTCACTCAATAGTGACACCTGCTGGACATTAAACATCCCTACAGGCAAAGCAGTTGACAGACATATTTCATGACCTGGTCTATATAATAAGACTTAAATCATGGTATTTTATTGTATATTATAAATTGTATTATGTCATCAGTTAAATTCTAAATCTTAGATTCTAAATTTGATATTCTTTGATTCAGTCAATAAATGAAGTGAACATGGACCATAAAGTGAAAATTTAATTGAATGTGTTTGGAATGAGGATGCTTAAAGACTGAGTGTTTTTATTTTTGTTTCTTCACAAATTTTCATAAAAAAGAAAAAAAGTTTTTCAAATATTTTGAAGTTTAGTTTGTTACGCTTTTTTGACACAACTTCTACTGTAGAAAAAAATGAAGTAAACAATACATTTATATGAAATATTTATAAAAGCCACTGAGTAATTAGTAGAATGATTATATACCTGAGTTTCTCCAGGTGTGTCTGGGATTCATTCTGATGCCCTGTGATGCCTCAGCATTGAGAAGGTGAATTTATTGAAATAAGTCATTTCTGTCAAAAATGTGCAACTCTAAACCTGCAGAGCATAATATGAAAGTAAACTAACAGCTGAATTTGGATTCAGATAGATCAAGTAGAAAGTGGAAAGAACCGGATGAAACAACGACAAAGTGAAAACCAATTCCTTATTTCTAATTAAGATCAAAATGGTCAAAATTACAAAACCTTTTGTTTGCTTTGAAAGGTTTCATAGTTGTCGCTGTACCGTAAAAGATCAAGAATTAGTTTGGAAATGCATCAAGTTGACAGATTTGCTTCCTTATAAACACAGTTAGGCGCCTCAGTGTCATTTCAGTTCCTCTTGGTCATGTGACTGGATGAAAGCAACCGCACCGACACGATGTTTCGTCTAAGGGCTTCATGTATGCGCCAACACATCGTGTTGCTGGACCCATCACTATTTTTGACATTTTGACCTTCCAAGTAAAAAGTGAACTAAAAATCTGAGGTTTGTTTGTGAAAGCTCAGATGTTTGAGCTTCTTAAAAACCAAGAAAACTTTCCTCCACTCCGACCGTCGCTCTATTTCTGAGTCTCACTCTGTTTTTTATTAATTCAGCTAATATCTGATGAATTATTGGTTCAACCACAGTAATCATTTTTACAAACCCTTAATAGTAAGTCTGAATTATTGAATTATTCCACTGACGGATATTTCCAGTTCAATTGGTGGCAAGATTTTGACCTTTGACCTTTGTGCTGTGTGTTTTAAATAAATACTTTTGGGGTACTTTTAGTTTCCATTCCAACTGCATAAGATAAAGTTAATTATTTATGAAATAAAGCCTGAAACATAATAAATCTTTCATGTTTTCCAGATAAAAGATGGCGCAGCAGCAGGAAGTCCAGCAGGATTTCAGTAAGTGATCAGAAGCAGAAATGAACCATCATGAAGGAACAAACTGACCAATCACAGCCCGTGTTGCTGCCATGTGATGAACCTCAGCCTCAGAGTATTTATTGTTTTCATGCTTCCTGTTCAGTGAAGCTCTGCTGGAAACTGAGTTTCTGTGAAACCTGAAGATAAAAATTTATCCAATAATCACATCATTTATTACTAATTTATTATCAAAGGCTGTCTCTGTCTTTTATCCCAACATTTGGTGACAGAGATGCTAAAGCTTAGAGATGGAGATTAAAAACTTGTTGAAAGTAAAAGACAGAAAAGTGATGAAAATGTTAATCAGTCGATATTTTCACCAATAGGTCAGACAGAGGTCATGACTCCTCTTTCTGACCTAGAACTGCCTTAAAGTTCAGTTCACAGATAAAAACTGAACACATTCACAGCCTCAGAATAAACTGGTCCATGCTGATGAAACATCCCGTGAAACAAAACTGGTCTTTTATTTTGAAAAAGCAAACAGCTGCTTCCACTTAGGATCCATTAGACCGATCCTAAACCGTTTCAAGTAAATGAGAAGGCCAGTTCTCATATTCAGTAGTACCGTGATTTGTATCTGTACCTCACTCACAGTAATAGCAGCGATGAGAGAGAAATGTTATGCACTGAGTGCTGATATTTTTGACAAAAGAATGAAAATTAATAGTTAGGAGCCCAAGATATCCCAGTGACACCAGTACGCTCTGGAGGACCTTGACAGAAAACCCCAGAGCAATTTCAAAAGATTGTAGGGAAGCTGACACTCGATGCAACGATCAAAATTTTCACCAATAGAGCATGTTTGTAGGCGTGAGAGCAAGTTAAAAATGTTCAGCTATGTAATATGAGGTAAAGGTTAGGCAGTAGAAATCAATGGAAGTCAATGGAAAGTCTCCACAAAGATAGTCTGACAAACGTGTGTGTGTGTGCGTGTGTGTGTGTGTGTGTGTGTGTGTGCGTGTGTGTGTGTGTGCGTGTGTGTGTGTGTGTGTGTGTGTGTGTGTGTGTGTGTGTGTGTGTGTGTGTGGTGTGTGTGTGTGTGTGACCATCTCAGCTGTAGGTCCTACAGACAGAGAGCTGATCGGGTCAGAACCCAGAGAACAGACACTAACAGGTTTAGTTTCTATTTTATTCACTTTAAAGGAAACAAAGTAAAGACACAAACATGATTCCAGTTTAGACCTGAAAAGGTTTAAACTCAGTTCTATCTCTAATTTCCTTCCTGGACTCAGAAGTTCTGCAGATGTTTGTGAGGAGATGAGCCAGCAGACATCAGAAGGTCATGAAGGACTGAAGGAGAGAACAATTCAAACCAGATGTTACCTGCTGGAATCTGGTTCCTCTGATGATGGGAACCAGCTTTCTGCTTCACAGGACAGTTACTGGGACTGGATCACTGGAATGACTGGTTCTGATTTCTCTCTCCAGAAGTCCAGAAGATGGAATATCGGCATCAAAAGAAGGAGAGAGCAGAACCTCCAGGATCCATCAGTCCATCTATGAGGAGTGACCGGTCCAAAGGAAAACCTTCAGAATTCAGTAATGAATCGAGATCATCAAACAGAAAGTAAGAAACCAGTTTCTAATTGATTTATGTGAATCTATAGAGATAAAATATAAATGATGTTAACTGGTTGATCTCAGTGTTTGAATAAAAAGTATTTTTTATTGTAAATTAATTTAAAGCTGAATAAACATGAAGGATGTTGGTCAGAAAAATCAGAGTTTGAATGAAGGTCTGAATGATCAATGATGAAAATGTTGCATGAAAACAAAACCAACCAAGAATGTGAAGAGCAATGGTCCAGTTTATATACTGGGAACACTGGGTCCAGTTGATCCAGGTAGGCTGATAACCTGGCCACGCCCACTGAGCCTCAGCAGCTCCAAACAGAAAGGTCAAAGGTCAAAGCGGCTCCAGAGGACTGGGCTGGACTTCTGGTTCTGAGGTTCTTCTTCCTGGTCGGTTCTTGGGTTCTGGTCTTTCATGATCCACATCGGCTCTTCAGACCAGATGAACAGCTTTAGTTCTGATCCTCTGCTCTCCACCTTCTACCACTAGATGGCAGCAGTGAGACTCTTTGCAGTGCATTCTGGGTATTGGAGTTTTATCAATGGATACGACAGAAGAACTTTGTGGAATAATTCCTAGAAATATAATATGATCAGCTCCATCAAACTGGAACATGAGCCTGTTGTTCTGCAGGTTCTGCTGTGACCCAGAAAATGTTGAGTTTGACCCAATAAATAGTCTGAATGTTTCATTCTGGAGCTTTAAACCTTCTGCTTCTCTGCAGCAGTTTGTGTTCAGAGCTTCTTCTCTGGTTTTTATCTCAGTTTCTCACTGATTGATGATCTGAATACAACATGTTTGTGTTTCAGAGGACAGAACCACAGATGGAGAGCAGAACTGAACATGTTCAGCTCCAGCCTGTTGCTAGTGAATATTTCAGTGATGAGGAAATGTCTTCACAGAGCAGCTTTAGTGAGGAGGAGCTTCCATCCTGCTGTGCTTTGGGTCAGAATGTTCTGATGGATCCGGGCTGGACCAGCTGCCCCCAGTGTGGGAAACGACCCAGAACAGGATCTGGACCGACAGCCAATCAGAGCAGCCATACTCCAGGTGAGACTGAACATGTCCAATCAGAGCTTCTTCCTTCCAGATCCACGTCTTTAGTTGAGATTTGGACATTTAAGGATTAAAAGTCTTTTTGTGGTCAGTTGTTTCAACTGAATCTGACTTTTTCCAGCTGGTGTAACTGGAACTTATGTCTCTGTAACTCGGCTTAATAAACTATTCATTTAATTTGACCCTGTTCAAAAAATGTCCACAAGATAAATGTACAAATTATAATACAAATTTGAAACAAATTTGAAACACAACAGCAGGTTCAGACCTGAGGAGCTGATCAACAGACTCTGAGGAGAATCTCTGGATGGAGCAACAGGAAGAGTTGATCTTCATCAGGTTTGTCTCTCAGATGTAAATTAATCCTGTTTCTGTTTCTGCCTGCAGAGGAAAAACTGTTCAAGGTTTGCCCTGAGTTTGTGGAGAAAGTTTCTGAGGAAATCCTGATTCAGCTCCTCGATGGTCTTCTATCAGATGGGGTCTTTAAACATTCGGAGATAGAAGATATACTGCAGAAGAACCAAACCAGTGCAGACAAGGCCCGCGACACCATAGATGCTGTGATGAAGAAAGGACAGAGAGCCTGCAGGTTGATGATCAAACATCTTCATCACATGGATCTGACTCTGTCCAACCAGCTGGGTTTGTCCTCTGACTCCTTTGGTCCAGGTGAGACAGCCTGAGTTGACAAGATTTCAATTTGTCACCACAAAAAAAAAAGTTAAATAAATTAATCTGCTGAATGTCTGAAGACAATGGATTCTCGGTTCAGCTTGTTGAATATTAATGAAACCAATGAAAACTAAATTCATTTGAATATGTAATTACTATGCCATATTCAAGTTTAGAAATTCATAGGTTAATATGGATTATAATGAAATTTTTTGATGAAAAGGTTTTGTACAACTTGTACAGCCAACAGAGATAAAATGAATGGTTCTGTTGATTTACTTCAAAATGAAGAGAAGCAGCTGTGGTGCATCAACACTCAGCGATGGAGAACCTCCAGGTTCTGGTTCTGTTGGGCTCAAATAGAAATTGTTTTATAGAAATTCATTGCTGAGCCAAACATAATGATAAAACTCAGATCAGCTGATTATGATGATGTATAAATATAACTACATTCTGACACTTGAAAGCCCTTTTGAATTTAGGTCATAAAGTAAGAAGATGTAAACCAATAGCCACTTGTGAATTTCATTTCTTTACATCCAAAGGAAAAATGTGAGAGAGGAAATACTATTTATGGAGTTGTTTTTGCGAAAGGATTCTTGGCACCGCCCTGGGTCAAACTGACCTGGTGCTCTCCTTTCCCTCGCATACGAATCGCAAAGTTGGACCAAATGTGACTTGGGAAAAGATGTGGTTTGGACAGATAAGAACACCAATCTGTGATGAATTGGCTTATTCTGCCAATCTGAAATGGAGCAGATGTTGAGGTCAAGAGGTCCCAAATATTCTTAAGGAGGTCCAACACACAATCAGTCTAGGACTTGCCAGGATCCTTACATCAGTCAAGGGTTGTAATGCTGTTGGTTGAAACTTTCCAACTCACATCAGAAAAGATGAGATTGTATAAAAAAGGGTGATGTTAGGAATATGAGATTTTTGTTTTTTGTACTGATGAAGTTGTAAGACATGTCCATGTAAGAATGATAAATCTCCCAACTCGCCATGGCCTGAAGCAGCAAAAGAACCTGAGTCTGGAGTGCGTTATTTCCTTTACGTGTATATATATATATAAAATATAAGAGTTTAGCCACCTTTCTATTCTCCAACAAAAACAGTTAATATTACGTAGTCTGGAATTGTAGGGACGCTGCAATGGAGTAGGCGCTTTTTTGTGAGGCTCCGTATTATCTCCCAAACTTCGCCTCTAACATAATACACCTGGCCCTTTATTCAATATTGTTTTTCTTCAAGAGATTGGGAATATTTTTTTTACTCTTCTCTCTCAAAATGGGGAAGAAGGACGGCGCACAGAAGGAGACAGCCCAGCCGAGTTACGGAGCTAGCAACGAAGCTATCCTAGGTGCTATCACAGCTCAGGGGGTGCAAGTTGCTAAGCTTTTCGATCTTATTGATGACCTAAAGAAGACAATGGAGGGCCGTTACAACACTATTGAATCTTCTCTCTCCGCCGTGCAAACTCAACGACGGGAGATAGAGAGCGAGTCGACACCATTGATGAAGCCATGTCGTCTGATGATGGCCGCATCTCGGCCCTCGAAGCCTCCTGTGGTCAGCTCCGGGATGCTAACGCTCTGCTGAGAGAGAAGCTAAGTGATCTGGAAGGTCGGTCCCGCAGATGTAATATAAGGGTGCTTGGCATCAAGGAAGGTGCAGAACAAGGTCGCCCTACTGACTTTATTTCACGGCTCTTACCGGAGGTACTCGGAAAGGATAATTTTGTCAAGCCCATCAAGATTGACCGCGCTCACCGTAGTCTTAGGCCGAAACCGTCACCTGTGGAGCGACCACGCGCCATCATCGCAAAGATTCACAACGACAGAGACGTGGCTAACATTCTGCGACTCAGCCGCTTGCATTCACTCCTGATGTACAACGGAGCCCGTGTGTCAATCTTTCCTGACTACACAGCTGAAGTCGTGGCGCAACGGATGGCCTACAACAGCGTGAGGAAGAAGCTAACCGACACGGGCGCTAAGTGCTCGCTACGCTATCCAGCCAAGCTGCAGGTTGTACACAACAACATAGTTAAGACTTTTCTCTCCCCGGCGGAGGCTGAACATTTCGCTGATTCCATCTCGGCCGCAGCAGATGTCCCAACCTAGGCTCACTGGTTGTACTTGTTCAGAAATTGTAAATTCCTGTACCTTAAAGCACAATAGGTTTGGTTATGTTTCCTTGTATGTTATATTCTCTGAGGTCATTCCGGTATACATAAAGTACTTAACTTCTTGTTAGCTTGAATTCTCACTAGTTTGTATATCCCCTTGTGGTCTTTATATACCTGAATCTGAAACTTAGAATTGTCCAGGTGTTTTATTTGTACTGTTCATTGTATTTTGGAGATCTCCGGGTTCTTGCTCCCTATTTAGGAGTGGTTATGGTAGTTCCCGTAGTGTACTGCTCGGGTCAGCTCCCAGCAGCCTCCCTTAGCTTAAGGGAAGCACTGTTTGTTTTTACATTGCGGTGGGAGTGGGAGGGGGTTGGTTCGGTATTTGGTCACTTAGTTCTAGAATGGGGGGCACGGAGGGGAGGGACGAGTGGGTGGGTGTTTTTTTCTTTCTTCTCTTTTCTCCCTTTCTTTCTTCTTTTCCTTTTCTTTTTCTCCCTTATTCAGCTCAGACAACACTTTTTTGTCCACCGTTCTGAATTTTCTCTGACGGTGCTCCTTTCATGCCAGCTATGAATCCGATTACCTTCATCACCTGGAACTGCAGGGGTGTGGGTGGGGCGCTCAAGAGGGGCAAAGTTTTTTCTCACTTGAAGGATCTGTCTGCTGATGTTGTGTTCCTGCAGGAGACACATATCTCACCTACGGAACAGAGACGTTTGAGGACATCATGGGTGTCGTGTGTGTATCAATCCAACTTCACCTCCAGGGCGAGAGGAGTGGCCATTCTCATCCGTTAAAACCGTTCCATTCATATTTAAGTCACAGGTTACTGATCCATTCGGGAGATACATTCTTATTACTGGCATCATTAATTCTGTCCCCCTGGCCCTTCTTAACATCTATGCACCTAACTTTGACTGTCCAGACTTTTATAAAAAAGTATTTAATCTTGTAGCGGAACACACTGAATATAGGATCATTGTTGGGGGTGATTTTAATTGCTACCTCAACCCTGTCCTCGACAGGTCTTCTCCTAAACCTGCCTCGCCATCGCAGTCCACATCGGTTATAACCAAGTTAGCAGCATCTTTGGATCTGGTTGATGTCTGGCGGCATCAACATCCCATAGAGAGCCAATATTCTTTTTTTTCCTCGGTGCACAAATCCTCAACAAGAATTGACTATTTTTTGGCTGACTCAAACTTATTACCCCGTGTTCTCAAATCACCTACCACCCTATTCTCATCTCTGATCATGAACCATTGTCAGTTGAATTTAATTTTGATACCCAAAGAGCACAGTACAATTGGAAACTTAATCCCTCCCTGTACTTGGACAGCTCCTTTTGCAAGTTTGTCTCTAATAAGATCTCAGACTTTTTGGCTTACAATGATAATGGCACTGTCTCGGATTCCACACTTTGGGAATCTTTCAAAGCTGTGATAAGAGGTGATATTATATCATACCAATCCAATCTTAAGAGAGTCAGACGTAATCGTCTGGCGGAAATTGAGAAACAAATAACCACACTGGAAGACACACTCCTCGCCAATTCAGACCACATATTACCTCGATTGTGAATCTAAAGTATGAATATAACTGTATTTTGGGTGAGCGGGTCATGGATGATATTCAGAGGCTGCGTCAGAGGTATTTCGAACTGGGGGACAAAGCAGATCAAATACTATCCAGGCAGTTGAAGGGAATGCAGGCCGAGCGAGCCATTAATAAGATATTCTCTCCATCAGGCCAGCTTCTGACAGATCATAAGCTAATAAACAAAACTTTCTTTCAGTACTACAATAAACTTTATGCCTCCAATACAACTGCATCTACAGAGGATATCGCACGCTTTATTCAACCATTGGACATTCCGACTCTTACAAATGCCGCAAGGCTGGAACTAGATGGTGATGTTACTCTGGAGGAGATAAGGGCAGCAATCCGCTCTTTTCCTAGTGGAAAGGCATGCGGTCCTGACGGCTTTGGTATCGAGTTTTACAAGACTCATATTGACGTGGTGGCGCCACTCATACTGCGTATGGTCAGGTCTTCCGTGGAGGTTGGGCATTTCCTGAGTCTCTATATGATGCTAGTATTTGTCTTTACTTAAAAAGGACAGAGACCCTACTAATGTGGCTTCATATCGCCCCTTGAGCCTGCTTAACTCTGATCAGAAAATTATTGCTAAGGTCTTAGCTAACCGACTGTCCTCCCACATCAGTGCTCTGTACATCCAGATCAATCTGATTCATTCCAGAAAGATTCTCTTTTTCCAACACAAGACGACTACTCAACATTATGTATTCTCACGCTCTTACCACTCAGCAGTCATATCTTTGGATGCTCAGCAGCTTTCGACCAGGTGTGGAGTGGGGATACATGTTCGCTGTTCTCAGAAGATTGGCTTTGGCACAGGTTTTCTGTCTCTGATAGAAATGCTTTATGCTCATCCAGGTCTCGGTGTTTGACCAATAGAGACAGATCACTGCCTTTGTACTGAAACGTGCACTAGGCAGGGCTGCTGCTTGTCTCCCATGCTATTTGCGTTGGCTTTGGAACCCTTGGCGGCTGCCATCAGGTCTAATCAACTTATCACGGGTATCACATGTGGTACACTAGAGCACGTCATAGGCTTATATGCGGATGATGTAGTCTTGACATTGCTTGACGCTAGAGCCTCTCTTCCACCGCTTCTCGAAGTGCTGCAGAGCTTTGGGCAGCTCTCTGGTTTCACAATCAACTGGAATAAGTCTGTCTTTGTGCCTCTGTCTAACGGACTTGACTCTGGTTTTCTGAATAGTTTACCATTAAAAATCGCCCATGACCACTTTATGTATCTCGGTATCAAAATTCCCGTAAACTCCAAGTTACTATTCCAATTAAATTATTTAGAGTTACTCTCTAAGCTAAGAAAATGGATTGACAATTGGCGGTTACTCCCACTCTCATTAATTGGTCGTATTAATATTATCAAAATGGTTGTACTTCCTAAGTTTATTTATCTCTTCCAAATATTCCAATTTTTATTCCTTCTTCCTTTTTTAATACATTGGACTCAATGATTATGCCATTCATTTGGGCATACAAACCTTCCCGAATCTCTAAAGCGCATTTGCAGAAATCTAGATGGGAGGGTGGCTTTGGCCTTCCGATTTTCGGCACTACTACTGGGCCGCAATGCCAGAGTTTGGACATTCTGGGACGTCATCTGCCGAGGCGGGGACTCCTTCCGTCTCCCTCCCTGGCTGGCCTCAGATTGAATCTCATAACTTGTTACTACAAACTTCTGCTTCATTGCCTGCAATATTATTCTCTAAACCAGATATCCCCCTCAAGAGGCTCACGTCTGACTTCATACTTTGGAACTCAGTAAAATTGACACAAATAAAGAGTCTTGAAACTCCCAACTTGTCTATTTATGCCCCTTGTGTCATAACCCCTGCTTAAACCGGGCCTCTTGGATCCTGCCTTCAAACTCTGGTCAGGCAGGGGCCTCTCCTCTCTCAAGGATCTTTTATCAACAAAAAGATCGCATCATACCTCAGCTACAGTCTAAATTCAATTTGTCCCCAAATAATTGTTTTCGCTATTTGCAAGCTAGGAGTTTGCAAACCAACTTGCTTTAAGCACAAATCAGCATTCAGCGCAACATGTTTTTATGATCTTCTTATTAAACCCCCCACCTCCAGACATCTAATCTCACTGTTTGTGAATGTTTTCTCTAAGCCGGAGTCGTCCATTCATATCAGAGATGCCTGGTCCAAAGATTTGGGAGTTACAATTTCCACTGCGCTCTGGGACCGTGTGCTGTTGGGGATAAAAAACTGCTCCATTAATGCCAAATTGCAACTAATCCAGTTTAAAGTGGTGCATCGTCTGCACTACTCTAAAGCGAGATTGAATAAAATATTCCCAAGTCATTCAAGTACTTGTGACAGATGTGGACACCCTAAGGCTACTCTTGGACATCAATTTTGGCACTGCCATTATTTAACAACCTTTTGGTCTGACATATTCTGTCTCTACCAAACTGCGTACAAACAACAGATTCCTTTGGACTGTCTTGTTTGCTCTGTTTGGGGTATCTGACTCCTGCTCTGCTCTGCCCTTGTCTACTCGAGAGGCTCTCGCTTTTGGGATGGTTGTGGCTAAACGTGTCATTCTTACAGAGTGGAAGTCTGCCTCACCTCCCTCCTTTAAATGTTGGCTTAATAGCATGGCTTCTTGTTTACACCTTGAAAAAATACGCTACACTCTCGATAATAATGTACCCAGATATGCTGGGACATGGGGGCCATTCCTTGAACATTTGAGTAATACCACTGGACACGGTTAGTGCAGGCTAACGTCTGCTCTGTGACAGTGGTGGGGGCCTCCCGGTTGGTGCACAAGTGACTTAATGCACCCTGATGCATTCATTTTCCAGCAGTCTGCGAAGGAGCTGAATATTTTATTTAGTTCTTACTTGTTTTATTTTGTTCATATTAACCCTTCTTTTATTATTTATTTACTTTTTTTTTTTTTTTTCTTTTCCGTTTCCCCATCTATCTATTTGTTGTTCTATCTTCTATCCTTAATAACCTGGGGTGGGTTGGGTTGGGGTATCACTGTTTGTGTTGTCTATTTTTCTGGATACATAAGGACAGTCGTGATCTGGAATCTATTTGTAACTGCGATCTGTTTTGGACTCACTTACTGATGATGACAATATAGAAGATCCCAATTCCAGTGTCAACCTACGCCAACTGGTCATCACGGTCTGATCGACGATCCGGATTTCATTGTATTTTGATAACTGTCCTGCAGTTTTGTTCATTTGTTGATAACAATAAATATATTACAAAAAAAAAAAATATTACATAGTTTGGTCTTTCATGTTTGTGCAAATGGCAGCTCCGACAGAACCCTGACACAGTCGCATCATTTCTCTCTTTTTTATTGCTTTCTGTTCCTCAGAGTAACAAACTCAAATCTTGAATATATTCAGATCAACATTGATGTAAATATTCCAAGAAGGCATGAGCATATATACAATCATAGAAAGGTGGTTAGTGGTTGCAGCATGGTCACTACAGGATAGATGATTGATGTGTTCAAAGACAAAACATTTACGTAGAATATCAGAGGAGGCGTATGTGTTACTGAGAATCTCTTTAGCTTTAGGTGCAAAAGAAAATGTTTAAAATTTTCATCTTAAGGCTTTTATCACATCTGTTAGTCTGGTTCAACCTTCAACCAGAAAAAACCGTGAAAGAGTTTTAATGATCACAACTAATTCAAATCAGCTCTGTTCAGTAAGAACCAAGTTTATGGTTTTTCTTACCATGCAGAAATTTTAACAATTTGAGGTTATTTATTGATTTACTTTTTTCTCATTCATTAAAGGTGATGCATAAATCGTCTCTGAGAATATAAAAATTATTGTTTTCCTTATGTTCAGCTGAAATGTCTCATCTCCTGTCTTTGTCTCTTCTTTCAGATTTTGATATTCGGTGTCAACGTGACCTTAAAGAGTCTCTGAAGATGATGTTCCAAGTCTCTCTGAAGGCGTCGCTGAACTTGGAAATAAAACCGATCTGAACCAGATCTACACTGAGCTCTACATCACAGAGGGGTCAACTAGAGAGGTCAACCAGGAACATGAGGTCAGACAGATTGAAACAGCATCCAGGAAAACAAGAAACAGTCAGAAGAGAAGACATCTTTAAAGTCCCACCTGGAGGAGATCAACCAATCAGAACAGTGATGACCATGGGCGTGGCTGGCATTGGGAAAACACTGTTAACACAGAAGTTCACTCTGGACTGGGCTGAAGGCAAAACCAACCACAACATTGATTTCATATTTCCATTCACCTTCAGAGAACTGAATTTACTGAGAGAGAAAAAGTTCAGCTTATTAGAACTGATTCATGAACGATTCACTAAAACCAAAGGAATCAGAAACTTGAATCGTTCCAGGTTCTGTTCATCTTTGATGGTCTGGATGAAAGTCGATTTAATCTGGATTTCAAGAACAATCTGATCCTGACTGATGTTACAGAGTCCAGCTCACTGGATGTTCTGCTGACAAACCTCATCAGGAGGAAACTGCTTCCCTCTGCTCTCCTCTGGATAACCACGACCTGCAGCAGCCAATCGGATCCCTGCTCAGTGTGTTGACATGGTGACAGAGGTCAGAGGGTTCACTGACCCCCAGAAGGAGGAATACTTCAGGAAGAGATTCAGAGATGATGAAGAGAAGGCCAGCAGGATCATCTCCCACATCCAGAAATCCAAAAGTCTCCACATCATGTGTCACATCCCCGTCTTCTGCTGGATCACTGCTAAAGTTCTGGAGGATGTGATGAAGACCAGAGAGAGAGAAAACTACCCAAGACTCTGACTGAGATGTACATAGAGTTCCTGCTGGTTCAACTCAAAATCAAGGAGGAAAAGTATGATGGAGGAAAAAAGAGAAATCTATCTGGAGTCCAGAGAACAGGAAGCTGATTGAGTCTCTAGGAAAACTGGCTTTTGATCAGCTGCTGAAGGGAAACCTGATCTTCTATGACAAAGATCTCACACAGTGCGGCATCAACATCCAAGATGCTGCGTTGTTCTCAGGAGTTTTCACTGAGATGTTTAAAAGAGAGAGAGGGACACGCGACGTCTCCATCTACTCCTTTGTTCATCTGAGCATCCAGGAGTTTCTGGCTGCAGTCTACATGCTCCACTGCTTCACCAGCAGGAAGTCAGAGGAGATCAAGACGTTCCTGGGATACGAATACAGAGAAACATCTCTAGATGAGTTCATGAAGAAAGTCATGGAGAAATCCCTCTGGAGTCAAAATGGCCACCTGGACCTGTTTGTCCGCTTCCTTCATGGTCTCACTGTGGAGTCCAACCAGAGAGTCTTAGAAGATCTACTGGGTCAGACAGAGACCAGACCAGAAACCATCCAGAGAATCATCACCAACCTGAAGGAGATGAACACTGATAGAATCTCTCCTGCCAGAAGCATCAACATCTTCTACTGTCTGGTGGAGATGAACGACGTCTCATTTTATCAGGAGATCCAACGGCTGCTGGATTCAGGGCAGCAGCTCTCAGAGACTGACTGTTCAGCTCTGGCCTTCATGCTGCAGATGTCAGAGAAGGTTCTGGATGAGTTGGACCTGGAGAAGTACAACACATCAGAATCAGGACGATGGAGACTGGTTCCAGCTGTGAGGAACTGCAGAAAGGCTCGGTGAGTCCAGATGTTTTCATTGTGTGATGCTGATTCAGCTCTATTGTCCTCCTGTTTCTTCTTCTGTCTTCAAGTTGATTCTGGATGTTTTTGCTCTTTATCTACTTCCTTCATCCTCTGGATTATTTTTCATAAACTTTATATTTTGTTGTTTTATAGTTCAGAAATATAAATACTTTGAACATTCAAACCTCCACTAACAAAAGCTGCAAAGTATCTTGTTGAACAAAGACAATTAAATAATAAAACAATAAAACCCAAAGTGAGAACTTTCACAATAAAACTAGATGATTACATTGATCCTCCAGTTGGTTCCAGGTTCAGGTTTCTTCTCTTCCAATATTTTTATTGATCAGCAGAAAGTCTTCATGACAGTCAGTCTCTCCACTGGATGAATTTCCTTAATTATTTCCTTCCAGTCTAATGTGAATGTTCTGATGATCATCATCATCATCATCATCATCAGTGTTGCATGTTATTCGCCCAGGAAAACATTAAAACATTCTGGGAGGAAATTTCACATGTTCTCTGATGAGATTAAAATAAGTTTGTGTCAAACTGACTGTCTGTTCGTGTCTGCTGCTCCTTTGTGGTGTTAATTTAAAAACTCAGCATGCAGAAGCTGCTGGTTGCTTATCTTGACTGTGAGAGCATTCTGCTAAAGAAACCAGGTTCTGCAGAGCAAGAGAGACGTTTTGTAACAAGCAGAAATATTAAGTAGGGAACTGGTTACAGGTCTGAGAACAAACACAAAGCGTTCGGTTCCCCATGTACACTCAATCAATCAATCAATCAATCAATCAATCAATCAATCAATCAATCAATCAATCAATCAATCAATCAATCAATCAATCAATCAATCAGTCAATCAATCAATCAATCAATCAGTCAATCTGATTGATTGATGTACACTCACTGCTAAGTTAATGATGAATATTCATGAATATTTATCTTATGCTAGTCGACACATACAGTTACATTTAGCTATCAAGCTGCAGCATTTATGATGCTGCACTATGCTGTAGCATCATAAATGCTGCACTATGCTGCAGCACTTATGATGCTGCAGCTCGTGGTAAAAATGAGTCAATTTTTTAAAATAAAGTGTTTATCAGAAAACCTAAAGATCAAATCAGGATTGATTTAACACCAGAGACAGAAAAATAGAGCAAAAGGTGATTTGAACTGCAGTTGGAACAATTATTGACAATATATACAGGGGTTAAAGTTAATCAATAACTGGTTCAATCCTCCATTAATCACAAACACTGAAAAATAAGTTGATTAAATTCATTAAAAATGTCCAAATGCTGATAAAGATCCAGTTCAGTTTCACTAAACCAAGAACCAAAGACCTGAAGAGGAGTTGGGAAAGCATTTATTGATTTAATATAGATCAGATATTGACTCGATCAATATCTGCCGATAACAGATATTGATCAGTTATCGGCGTTTGATTCATTAATTTCAACCTCAAATGATTCGTTGACACATTTTCAACTTTGGTTCTGACTAGAATTGGATGATTGTTTGCTGATTGATCATTGATTATGGACCAGAATCAACCATCTGACTATAATCCATCGTTGACGTAGCATCCTGTGCTATCAGGTCGGCTAACTCTGGGTCAGTTAGCGTTAGCAGTTAGCGTTAGCAGTTAGCGTTAGCAGTTAGCGTTAGCAGCTCATCGTCTGGTCTTGTTCCTTAATAGTTCCTCCCATAATGTTGTTGTTCTCTGATGGATCAATAAAAGCAGCAACGTGGCGATGAGGGTTCAGCCTCGGCCACAGACCCTTTCCTGAATCTGATAATCCACATTAATCTTAATCCTGGCAGAATGTGATTCATACAGACTGAAACAACCTATAATCTGATTATTAAAGCCAAATCTGTCCAGAGCTCAATAAAGATATTTCCAACACATTGAATCAAAAGCCTTTTCAGCATCTAAATGACTTTATTGATTCTGTTTAACCTTTGACCTGTGAGGTCAGGAGCCCACGTTGTCATGGGTTTGAATGTTGATGATAAAACCAGATTAAATCTGATCTGTGTCTGTAATTCCTGGGATTATAATATTTATCCAGTGTTGCTGCAGTGATCCTGTAATCAATGTTTCAAACTGATGTTGGTTTATGAACCACATCCAGTTTCATCTTTACCAGGTTTAGGAATCACTGACATCTCTGCTCTGATCCAAGATGGCGGCGTTTCCCCTCCACAAAGTTCTGATCTAATCAATCCTTCAGCAGCCGCTCTGCCGGGTCGCCTCCTCACCTGCCGTCTGATTCCCTTTCAGTCTTTAATGACTTTATTGATCAGTGATTAGTTGTTTGTGGATGATTTTGATCTGTTCCTATCGATGGTGAATCCAGAGCAGCAGCAAAAACTGCATGAGGCTGAGAGCAGAACTGAGTGGAGGATCATTCAACAGATTCTCATGTGTTTTAGAGATCGGTGTCTTTATCTGTTGGATTTTAATTTATTGATAAATCTATTAGTTTGCTATCAGTTTCTTTGCTTTGATCTATTTCCATAATAGTTGAGTTGAATAAATTTATCCTTTTCCTCCATCTGGTTTCATAGAAACAGTTTCTCCTTGTTTCTCTGATTTGTTATTATTATTATTTCCATACGTTGTATTTGTAGAGATTTTAGTTTTCTAATCTTTTAAACATTTCTCTCTTTCTCGTTAGAGAACCAGATAATTAAAGTTTTTGCTTCGTCCCATAAAATCCAGGGAGAAAAATCCTCTGTGTTGTTCTGGTTCAAATCATCTTTGAGTCGTTTTTTCCTGAAATCTGTTAAATTTAGTGTCATTAATAAACTATAATTATTGTTGATTCTCCACAGGGTTTCTTTGGTTCATGACCCGAATGGAGTCAGAAACACTCTGCATGATCAGACGTCTCTCATCTGTCACATTTTATGATTCATCCACCAAACATGATTCATAAAACAGGATTTTAATATAAACTGTTTCTGTCTGCAGTGGCGGAGCTCGACTTTTTTCAAGGGGTGGCCAAAGGGTGAGCAAGGCTTTATCACAGGGGTCCATATACAAATGATGGTCTTGCGCTGGTCCGGCCCGGGTCCGGCCCTGGTCCGGACCGGATCCGGCCCTTTCCAGGCCCTGGTCTGGCCCGGATCCGGCCCTTTCCAGGCCCTGGTCTGGCTCGGATCCGGCCCTTTCCTGGCCCAGGTATGTCCCTGGTCTTACGCTGGTCTGGCCCGGGTCCGGCCCTTTACTGGCCCGGGTCCGTCCCGTTCCTGGCCCGGGTCCGTCCCTGGTTTTGCCGTGGCCTGGCCCTGGTCCGGCCCGGATCCGGCCCTTTCCTGGCCCGGGTCTGTCGCTGGTCTTGCGCTGGTCTGGCTCGGGTCCGGCCCGGATCCGGCCCTTTCCTGGCCCTGGTTTTGCCGTGGCCCGGCCCTGGTCCGGCCCGGATCCCGCCCAGGTTCGACCCGAGTCCGGCCCTTTTCTGGCCTGGGTCTATCCCTGGTCTTGCGCTGGTCCGGCCCGGATCTGGCCCTGTGCTGGCCCTGGTCTGGCGCTGGTCCGGCCCGGGTCCGGCCCTGGTCCGGCACTGGTCCGGCCCGGATCCGGCCCTTTCCAGGCCCTGGTCTGGCCCGGATCCGGCCCTTTCCTGGCCCGGGTCTGTCCCTGGTCTTGCGCTGGTCTGGCTCGGGTCCGGCCAGGATCCGGCCCTTTCCTGGCCCTGGTTTTGCCGTGGCCCGGCCCTGGTCCGGCCCGGATCCGGCCCAGGTTCGGCCCGAGTCCGGCCCTTTCCTGGCCTGGGTCTATCCCTGGTCTTGCGCTGGTCCGGCCCGGATCTGGCCCTGGTCTGGCCCTGGTCTTGCGCTGGTCCGGCCCGGATCCGGCCCTTTCCTGGCCCTGGTTTTGCCGTGGCCCGGCCCTGGTCCGGCCCGGATCCGGCCCAGGTTCGGCCCGAGTACGGCCCTTTCCTGGCCAGGGTCTATCCCTGGTCTGGCGCTGGTCCGGCCCTGGTCCGCCCGGGTCCGTCCTGGGTCCGGCCCGGGTCTTTGCCGATCTCATAAGTATATTTTAAAATGACCATTTCCAGTGGGGTGGCAGTAGGGTGGCAAGGTCTCTGTTGCGGGTGGCAAATGCAATCCCTGCCACCCCTCTGTCTCCGCCTCTGCTGTCTGAGACGTTTTAATTTTGCTGGAGACCAGAAAATGATTTCAGTGAAAGTTCCAGTTTCATATCAATATCTGATACTTTGAGTCCAAAATGTTCCTAATAATCATTACTTACTGTCAACACATTGAATCAGGAGATTCTCTATGAACCATGCAGCAGAAAATGGATCCCAACATCTTCTAGTTACTGGAGAAATTTCACTGCTTCATCATGAAAAATGGACCCAAACACTCTGGTTCTGGTTCTGTCCACCATGATCCATATCATCACTATAGTAGATCAGACTGATGGACTGAGAGTTTATCAGTCTGTCTCATCTCAATGTGTGCAGACATATTAATGAGGATCATCTGCAGATCCTGGGTCACCTGGACCCGGTTCTGACCCAGTCCAGACGGTTCAGACCGGAAGGAGCAGCAGAACCGGTTCTGCTGCTGCTCTGCAGGACGACCAGAACAACGTGAAGCTTTTAGCTGCAGCAGGTTGACGACTGTCCACTTTCTACTTTGTTAAAGCATCAAATCCAGCAGATGGACGGAGACAGAACTGGAGCATCATGTGTTTGTTCTGCTCCCAGTTTCCTCTGTGGCAGCATTTAATAACCTGCTGCTGGGAAACATGTTTCTATACAATATATTACTATTATTCATGATGATGCAGCAGATATTGGCTCAACAAACCCAGAGATGCCAGAGGTCCAGAGCAGCTGGACTTCCTGTTCTGCTCACTTCATTTATAACTCACTTCCTGCTTGGTCTAAACGGTCTAGTCCAAGTCAGAGCTGTGAGCAGTTCCTCCTCCTCTCCATCATCTCCAGTCGTTTCCTTCATTCAGCTCAGTCAGCCTCTTCATCAGCTGCTGCAGAGAAACTGAACTTTCCTTCACTGATGATAGAAGATCTTCAACATCTGACTGCAGCTGAAGGTCTGAGGACATGAAGCCTGGACCAGAACCAGAACCAGAACCTGGACCAGAACCAGAACCAGAACCTGGACCAGAACCAGAACCAGAACAGAACCTGGACCAGAAGCAGAACCAGAACCTGGACCAGAACCAGAACCAGAACCTGGACCAGAAGCAGAACCAGAACCTGGACCAGAACCAGAACCTGGACCAGAACCAGAACCTGGACCAGAACCAGAACCTGGACCAGAACCAGAACCTGGACTTTAACCAGGAACTGCACAGATTCTCTGTGGGTCAAACTCAGTAGATATTGATCAGATGATGATCAGATGATGACATCACTGTTATCATATTTTAGTCTGTTTATGATCCAGATTGATTTCATTAGAACTGAATTTATTTCTTCTCTAATCACAGACTTGGTGGCTGTTCGATCCAAAAGGCTGAATGTGAAGTTTTGGCCTCGGCTCTGAAGTCCAACCCAAATCTGACTGAACTGGAAATAAATCAGATCAACATATATAAAGGTGGAGAATCTGATATGAATCATCTGGTTGAGATCCTGGAGAATTCAGTCAGTAAAGTGAAGAATCTGGGGTTTGTTTTCTCTATTTATTCAATAAAATCATTTATTGACTCTTTAATCAATAGTTAATCAATTTAATGTTAATATATATTATTTTAAAACAACATGTTTAATCATCAGAATAAAATCTCTAAAACTTTTGACCTTATTAATTATTTTCTTATTTCAGACTTTAAGATTATTGAACTTTGTTTTTCAGTTTTCTCTTTAAAATGTTTTTGATGAACAAAATGAGTAAAATAATTGAAATGCTGTGAATGAATGATGGAGATGTTTCAGTTTGGTAAAGATTCAGATGCTTTTATTTCTGATTCTTTACATCAGAATGAAATGTTGATCCTCCAGAGCCACAAACACTGACGAGTTCAAATCCTCATTAATGAACGTCTAAGAAACCACTGATTGTAGAAAAGCAAATCTAGATGCAATGAATGAAAGTGAGGTTTGCAGCAGCAGCAGGTTCCTCAGCTTTGTCCTGAGGCTGTGGTTCTGTTGGGCCGGGTCAGAGAGGAACCGTCTCCTGAGGAAATAATGGCCTCCATTGGCTTTCAGCAGCTTTAATAGGAACCCAAAGGCCATTAATGAAGAACCTGACTGGTTCTGATCCAGTTACCAAGTCGGGTCTGATGATCAGGAACCAGCAGAAATAGCTCAACTCATCCAGGCTGATAGAAAACTTTGAGTTTCTTTGTTGATCAAATGTTCTGGTTCTGCTGGTTTGGACTCTTTAAACCAGTTTGACTGGATCAGATGTTAGAATCAGTTCATCATGTTTCTTTTACATTCAGGGAAATTAATTTATACATTTTATTATTTATTTGTTCATATTTCAGTTTTAACTGCATCCTGTTGGTTCACATCTTTTATTCTTTATTCAGATTGATTGACTGCAGTTTCTCAGAGACCAGCTGGACGTCTCTGTTCTCAGCTCTGAAGTCCAACCCGACCCATCTGACAGAACTGGGCCTGATCGAAACCAACCTGGAAGATTCTGGACTGAAGGATCTCTGTGGTTTTCTACAGACTGAAGGCTGCAGACTGGAGACATTGATGTATTTTAATGATATAATTATTGATATTTCTGTGAATAATTCTATATAATTGATCATCAATCAAAGTTCATTTCTTCTGATCTAATCAATATTTTCTGAGTTTGTTCCTGGATCCAGAGTTTAATTTAGTTTCTCTGTGTAACTGAGTTGGACCTGCTGATCTGAGGTCAGAACAGGACAGCATTCGGACCCCAGTGTGTAGAAATCCCCCTCAGGTCAAGCAGGTCAAAGGTCATCCAGTCTAGAAAAGTGAATTCCTGGAATCTGACAGGAACAAATCAATAATCAATGATTGATGCTTCAACACTTTGATCAGAACCTGGAATGGTTTTACTGACTAAAATCCTCCAACACATCATGACCCAGTACCAGGTTCTGGTTCTGGTTCTGAAGTCAGCAGGTCTTTATTGGAGCAGCAGCTTGTTGGCATTAATATTCATGAGAATCTTTAACTGGTTCTGTTGGACTGGTTTAACCTGCATCCTGTTGGTTCACATCTTTTATTCTTTATTCAGGTTGAATTACTGCAGTTTGTCAAAGATCAGCTGTGATTATTTGGTCTCAGCTCTGAAGTCCAACCCGACCCGTCTGACAGAACTGGACCTGAGAGGAAACAAACTGAAGGAATCAGATGTTCAGCAGCTGAAGGATCTTGTAGAGACTTTAGAGTAAGTAATGTTTGCAGTGAGTCCAGCTGCTGTCAGCATATTGAACTAAACCCAGTCAGCATCAAAGCAAAGATCCAGTGTTCCCAGTAAAGCTGCAGCTTCTCAGTGGGAGGAGAATGGTTCAGGCTTCCTGATTGGACACAGCAATCAGCCAATCAGAGGAGCAGCAGCTTGCTGTGTTGTTGCTGTGTCCATGTCTCCAGGACGTCCAGCTGGACTCCAGCGTCCAACATGTCTAGAGACAGTGGTCCTCATTCATCAAACAGCAGCAGATCTGATCTCAGACCTGCTTGTTCTCTCAGTTCAACAGGAAACAACTGATCAGGTTCATCTTGGTCACAGCTCTGAGATCAGTCTGACTGGAAAACTATCTACTGGATGTGCTGCGTCACTGACTGCTACTGGAAACACTCACTGATCTGCTCTCCTTCCTTCTTCTCTCTGCAGGTGGGAGACATATTGATGATCTCTGTAAAGTAGAGAACGTCTCTGTGTCCTGCTGATCCTCACAGGTTGAAGCTGCAGCAGTTTGAGTCTAAAGAGACTCTGGATCAAGATGATGACCTCTGACCTCAGAACATTTTCTATTTCAAATATTTCCAGACTCGTCGTGTTGAAGATTTTTCAGTTTTATTTTTCATCTGATCTGTTTTGATGATCTGCAGGAACAAAAGAGAGAAAAATACTCTGAGTTTGTTAGAAAAGTTGAATTGAGCAAAAACATGAAGCATAAATTTCATTAAAAAGCTTTAAAGAGTTTGTTAATGGGACAAAATGTCATTTTATTCTGTTGAGGTGAAAAAGTTGATCTAAAATCAGACATGATAGCAGCTCTATAGATTCAGAGCCAAACAGTAAAACTTCCTCTGGATCTGTGGCATTAAATCCACTTGAGATCCAGACGTCCTGACCAGATCCTGCAGAGAAAAGAAACAATATTTGAACGTGGATCATTTGGACTCGGCTGCTTGGATGTGTGTTTGGATTTGAAAGGTTTTGTTGTGAAGCAGAAAGTTGATGAAGTTCACAGTGAAGACGACTTCAGTCCACCTGAAACTGGTTTCACTCAAACGTCTTTATTCACTTTAAGTTTCTGATGCAACAAGAAGGAAGAAAGGTCAAAGGTGAACCAGAGATGGACTCCATGTTGCTCACAGATGTGATGGGATCAGTTTGCACAGCTGTAGTTCAAGGAGAACAGTTTTATTTTCCTGCTTTTGTTGATGGATGCAAATTTGCATCAGAAGATGAGAAAATAACTTTCTGTGGTTTATTTGTGTGGATTTAAAGTGGAACAAGTTTAAAGAAAAACTAGAGGAGAAACCTGAGCCAGCGTTCTGACAGACCAACACTGAGGAACCAGAGTTTGCATCGTCAAGTGATGAAATCATCTGAATGTTGTGACTCGTTTCCCATCAAATCCCTGACAGGAGAAGCAAACCTCACGTCTCCAACATGAAGCTGCAACAGGATGCAGAACTTCCACCGAGCGTCACGTCACTCACAGCAGATCAGGAGCCTCGCTCTTCACCTCAACACCGCCTAAAACCTGGGACCAGGGGTTAAAGGTCATCTCCTGCACCTAGTGCAACATTTCCTTCTTATGAGAGCGCGTCTCAGTTTAGAGGCCAAAACCAGCAAGAAGCCTCAGAGTTTTCCTGCAACGTAGCTCTGGTCTACTGGCTTCAGTGAGGCTGGTTTTACTGAAGATGTGTTCAGGTACGCAGGAAAATTCAGCGCTGAGACAGACGGGACGAGCGACTCCACCTCTGATGATGCTTGGATAAAAGTTTATATGTTCATGAGATGAAAGAGTTAATTTTCCTCACATATCAGGACATTCTCCATCGGTCATCCTGCCGTCGTTCTGGATTTATCATTATTTACATCATCAATAGAAATTGTTCAACCAGATGTTTCTCTTTGTTTTAATTTTCACTGTTATAAAGTCAGATCAAGTCAGCTTACATTAGTGTTGTTAAATAAGAGTCACTGCAGGATTTTATTCAGTTTTGATTAGAAATAAAACGTCTTGTAAAGAGTTTAATACAGCAGCTTTATTTTATAATTTTAAACAGTTTTTAAAATAATAAAGAACAGTTGTTCTTATGTCAGCTGGTTGTTTTTTTCTTGATATTTGAAGCTTTTTCATACTTTCATTCTCAAAATTAGCAACAGTTAATATTTCTGGGATTGTTACACAATAAAATGTAGGATTTTTCAACTAAATTTCCATCTATTGTAAATAAAATATTACTTTATAAGTAGTTGTTCACTTTGTGTCTAAATTATTCTAATTAATCTCTATCTCTAATAACATACATGTATGAAATATATAAATTATTATTCACAGGATTAAGTTAATATAACTGTTGTCATTAGAAACTAATGAAAAGTTTAAAGTATTAATTTTATGATGATGATTGAGTTCTTACTGCCCTCTGGTGGTGAACTATAACTACAGACATTATTCATATAAATTGTTAAACCGGATGTTTGTTTAATGTAAAATTTTATAACGTCAGATCAAAGTTAACTCCAAACAGTGAATCAAAATATGTCTGAATAATATACGAGTCAGAAATCTGTGATAATGACTCAGGATGTCTTTTAGTTTTCTCTAAACTCCACATTAATGGATATTAAACATAAATAATGCAGCATTATCAGGGCTGTAGTTCCCACTATGGGCACCAGAGGGCGTAAATACCCCGCTCTGAATATAGAGGTGAGTTTGAAGAGCTGCAGTGTGAACTAGAAGCATCTCCACAGAGACGAAAACATCCCGCAGAGACTCTGAGCGGAGCTAACGATGCTAACAGACTAGCAGCGGCTTCAGAGGAGCTGTGGTTCTTAAAACTGGAGCTTCAGCTCAAACAGAGCTGAAACAAACTCTGGTTTAGGCGATAAGATGCTGAGCTTCCGGTCAGAAGGTAGGAAAATATTTATGAAAAGTTAAATTATCCTGCAAACAGTCAGAATAATGTTGATATTTTAGCTGCCGAGCCGCGAACTGAACTATTAATATCAGAGCAGGGCGGTTTCTGCCCTCTAGTGGACACAGATGATAATTACACCTACTTGATAAAGTTAGAGCGTTTACAAACTACATTCACTTCCGGTGAGTACTTTCACATTAAGAGCCATAGAAACGAGTTCCTCTGTTAGCTTTCATTTGAAATAATACATTTTACTTCTGTTGTTTTTCTCTCTGAAACAATAAACTGTTATTCAAAGCAGCAAATTAAATTTTACTCATCTCAAACTGAAATGATTATCAATTCATAAAAGTATTTAAATAACATTAACAATCAATCTCTGACCCGGTTCCCTCTCTGACCCGGCTCCATCTCTGACCCGGTTTCATCTCTGACCCGGTTCCCTCTCTGACCCGGCTCCATCTCTGACCCGGTTTCATCTCTGACCCGGTTCCCTCTCTGACCCGGTTCCATCTCTGACCCGGTTCCCTCTCTGACCCGGTTCCATCTCTGACCCGGTTCCCTCTCTGACCCGGTTCCATCTCTGACCCGGTTCCATCTCTGACCCGGTTCCCTCTCTGACCCGGTTCCCTCTCTGACCCGGTTCTCTCTGACCCGGTTTCCTCTGACTCTCTTGTGTTCATGAAATCAGTTCCTTCATTCAGAGTCTCAAACTGAAATGTTCTTTAGTGAAGAAGAAACTTCATCTGGTTCTGATGTTGAAGCTGCAGCTTGAATCCGTCTCAGGATTCGGATCAGAATCCAGTTCGTATCATCGATCAGCATCACTGTGGCTCCAGAACCTGGCCTATCTCTACCTACAGGCCGGTTGAGGCCAAGAGGTCAGAGGGCAGAAACACAACTGGACCTGGTGCCGTCATGTCGATGTTTTTTAGATTTAATCTAAAAATTAAAGAATTTTTAGATTAAATCTATCTAATGTAGAATTAGATTTTGAGATTTAATGTATTTCTTTTTCTTGCTGCGAATCTCCGGTGAGTTCTGTGCTACAATTAGCTCGTTAGCTATCGATTAGCCACAAGCTAATGTTTTGCTGTTTTGTATTAAAGGTTGGATTGTCATGAAATTTTATAGTTTAAAGTTGAAAGGAAAAAAACAATCGGCGATACTTGTTTATGGGTCAGAATGCATGTTTCTACATGATGTTTGTAAGTGAATTAGAAATGTTTCTCGCTAATATTCTGCTAATATTGCACCTTTTCTTTTGAAATGGTGACACTGATGAGGTATTTAATTTATTTCGCTGTAAGGAATTTAAGAGTGCTAAAAAATAAGATATTGATATCAATTCAGTGAATATTATTTTTGTGATGTTTGTTGAGTTAAAAGACAAAAGTTATTTATCACAAGTACAAATAATTTTATCTACACGGAGAGGAGATAAAATTTCACTGAGGTGACTTAGAGTTGCATAATAACACTATAGTGAAAGATATTTCTGCTACATGCAGGTTGTTAGGTTTTTTGTGTTGAGGAACAACACATGAAAAACAGCGAGCCAGGATCCACAAGATCAGATTCACATTGTGTCCACTACGATGCCAAAGAAGAACCTTCTGTTCCACTAGATGGGTGGGATTGGGTTAGGGTTAGCTACAACATGACATTCAGATCTGAAAACTGAACTGAAACCGAATCAAAGGAAAAGAAACCCTGAACTTGACTGACTTG